TTCCGAAATTCCATAGGCGAAACTTCGTCAACATTATTCGACCTTGAAGAACGCATACTTGGTCAGGACATGTGCAATACAATTACATAATGCTTACTAAACTGGACGTACACTAAGTACGAACTCTTGGACGAACGCTTGGACGTACACTAAGTACGAACGCTTGGACGCACGCTAAGTACGAAAGCTCGGACGTACTCCCCTGTTGACGTCATTCGCTTGAATACTAATTACTTCCGACAGTGGATGGGGGGGGGGGGTTACCTACTGTTATTACACTTAATTAAAAACCCAATCAGCAAGTATAGTAAGTTGATATTCACGAATTCAACAATCAATGCAAATTAATGAACACTGGATAATTAAGAACGTCAGCAAATTTTGGTTTTCACCAAGGGCGGGTGTATGTATTTCAAAAGGAAAATTAAATAAAGTGAACTGACAGTAAGCAAGACTATACACTAAGAGTTGCATATAAGTACGGGTATAGGCCTATAATAGGATAGTTTCAGATGCATTTGGATAAAACATGTAAGATTGATTTTTTCAAAGAGCATCAAAATTGAACGAATCCGAAGGACAAGTGCTATTTAATTGAGGTCTTCAAATTCACTTGAGGTCTTTGAATGGACGACTTGCGCTTTAGACTAAATTTTAATCTAAGTAAGAACAACGAAATCTACCACCACAGCTAGAAAGAGCGTCTTGGAATTAGTAATATTACAAAGTTTGGTTGCGAAATGTTGTAAAATACGGACAATATAGCCCTTCAAAGTCGGCAAATTTGTATACTTTTGTATTACGTGCGTGAATTGGTAACTAAATTAGTTACCAATTTCCGCACGTAATAGAAATGTATACAAATTTGCCAACTTCGCAGGGCTATAATTTCCGTATTTTACAACATTTCGCAACCAAACTTTCCAAAAATATCCTTTGTTATTCCCAGATTAAAAATTTTTCTAAAGCGCAAGTCGTCCATTGTAGTCACGCATTGTTTGTTGAGTGTTCCAACTGTGTTTTAACCTAAATAGAATACATGATCGTGTTGGATTGACATTAAGAACAGCTAACCAAAGTCGCTGACTGTCAACTCTCATGCACTCTCATTCTCGTTGACTTGAGGATGTTCAGCACACACCCACTTACTCACTCTCATAATGAAATTTATAACTGCTGAATCACAAATGAAATCCTTCTATTTAGTTACTAACTCTGTTGTTTCTTGTAGAGTTTTGGCTACAGGCGCAGTCTCGGATCGAATACCTCCCGCCCTTCATCTCTTTCGTAATTTCTCCATACCTGAGGACGATAAAGAACCTGATGAAAATGCCAAGTTTCCGCCCCTCTC